AACCCTTAGATTGGGATTCTGTCAGATGTTATTGAGTGAGGTACAGAAGTTAGGCCATGTCTGATGGGGTGTGCGGTAAGAAAGTCATTAGCGTAGACACAGGAGAAATGGTTCCCACAATCCTCCTCCACTTGTCAACTCAGCAGCCTTCATGTTATTCAACTTTGGTTTCTTCATCAGTGAAGTAGTATGTGATAGTAAATGGAAAGCACATGGATTCAGTTACTCTCAGATAAAAATACTCAATCAAATTTATCTGTACTGAACATGGACAGATGGCTTTCCTTGTCATGAGTCCTTACACTGTAGATGGTCACCGTTATTTGCGTAGTCTTGTATTAGGTATGGCGAGTGCAGTAGGGATGATAGCAAGTCTGTGGGAGCACATACGTTGAATAAAAAGCAAATAGTATGCCATTTTATGAAAGGGGTCTGAGCATCCACAAAGTTTGGTGTCTGCACAGGGGTAGATGTAGAACCAGTATTCCACAGATACCTAAGTACATGAGGGACCATATATGCTTACGCATTTTCGGGTTCTGTGCGAAGACCAGAAGTTTCTTGAATGAATAAAACGTAGAAAAATACCTGGCATATCATATAAGCTGTGGATTTTGCTCTGCTGCTTCCTAGACACTAGACGAAATCCTAGTGCTTGAATGAACTGTTTTAATTTAATTTAATTTAATTTTTTTTTTGGTTCCTGTCGTGGGGCCTGAACTCTGGGCCTGGGCGCTGTCCCTCAGCTCTTCAGCTCAAGGCTCTACCACTTGAGCCACAGCACCACTTCCGGTTTTTTTCTTTTTGCTTATGTGGTGCTGAGGAATCGAACCCTGGGCCTCAGGCATGCAAGGCAAGCGCTCTACCACTGAGCCACCTTCCCAGCCCTGAATGAACTGTTTTAAAATAATACTATTTGGCAGTACTGAACACTATATGCTTCTTAGGAGAAGGTTTCTACTGTCTGAGGAGGCAGGTCCTCCTGCAGTTTGGTTTTATATATGAGGAAACGTAATTGTTTGGTAGTGAGTTACAAAACTGAATTTCATGGGTGCTGTATAGATTTTAAAACTTAGTGTTTTCATTTACTACTTTTTCCTACAAAGACTTAAGAGAGTTGAATATTTACAATGCCTTATTTGGCTTTATGAATCTTTAGGGCTCCTTTGATTATTAAAAATTACAGCTAGGCTCTGGGGGCCCATGGGTGTAATCCTAGCTGCTTAGGAGGCTGAGATCTGAAGATCACTATTTAGAGCCAGCCCAGACAGACAGATCCTCTTAATTAACCAGCAACATGCTGAAAGCAGAGCCCTTGCTCAAGATAGAGCTCCAGCTTTGAGCAGAAACAGCCTACCCAGAGCATGAGGCCTTGAGTTCAGGCTCTAGTACTGGCAGGGAAAAAAAAAAGTCCCCTATACATAATTACTTGAATCCTTCCCAGCTGACTTCATGTCTCTTGCTAGAACTTTAGGAAATGTGGCTTGAGGCAATTTTTTACTTGGGACTAACTGGTGATTTAGGGAGAGGTTCTTGGGAAGACAATGAAAAGCTTCTTTCCTAAGGCCCCAGAGCCAGTGTCTTGGATCCAGGGCTCAGATGTGGTAACCTCAGAGGAGAGAGCGCTGCCCTTTTGCTCCCTGCAGGCTTCCTGCTCTCTGCAGGCTTGGACAGCTGCTGCCACCCCGGATTGCAGAGACGTGCCACGGTACGTTCTTGTTTAGCCAGGCATTTCCCCCACGAGGAACTGGCTGTTAATATACAAAACTTATCAGTAAGAATTGTCCCTAAACAGCTTGTATAGGCCTGTCCTTTTTCTTGAATGCTTTTTACAAACTCTGGAAAATAATTACTCTTTTGAATGAAAAGAAACCAAGTACAGGAAATCAGGCTTTTAAGCAGTGAAGCCAATGTAAGAGTCAGCCTGTTAGATTTATGCTAGAAGACGAGATTGAGCAAGGATTACTGAGCCAACAAGTAGGCTTCACTTTGGCAATCTACTGGAAAAACAAATCTGATAAGGTTAATTTGAAGATGACTGAAGTCCCTTCCTCCCTCCTTCCCTCCCTCCCTCCCTCCCTCCCTCCTTCCCTCCTTCCCTCCTTCCCTCCCTCCCTCCCTCCCTCCCTCCTTCCCTCCCTCCCTCCCTCCCTCCCTCCCTCCCTTCCTTCTCTTTTCTCCCTCCCTTCCCTCCCTCCCTCCCTCCCTCCCTCCTGGGCTTGAACCCAGGGCATGCTACTTGCTAGGAAAGTGCTCTAGTTCTATAATTTTGTTGTGAATGGTACTTCGTGGTTTTCCATTGAGGTTATATTTTCTACCAAAGCTCCCATTGTGATTAGCATTTAATTCATTTCATAGTAAAATAGAAGTAGCTTATGCTCTGAGGTAGCTTTAGTTTTATCATTGTAATAGACCCTAGTGTGCCTCTTCTGGTCCTGCCTCTTGCTATCCTGCGATAAAGGACCCACAAAGCAAAAAAAAAAAAAATATCTATAGTACACATTCAGTAAGTGTCCACTACATTGGTTAATACATCATTCATAATCTTTAAAATCATTTTAGTTTTTGTGTTTATGTGGTACCAAGGAATCGAACCCAGGGCCTCATGCATGCTAGGCAGACACTCTACCACTAAGCCACATTCCTTGCCCCCATCATTCATAATTTTAAATGCAGTGCAAACCACTTTTTTCTGATAATGGCATTTTATTAACTTCCTTGTATTTATTATTAACTTATATTTATTTCTTATTGAGGTAAAAATAAGTATGTGCCTAAATATAAATATAGCACTGAAGTGAAAATGTTCAAAATTGTTATGGGTTGTAACTTTTACATGTTTATTAAAACAGCCAAACATAGACTTTGTAGTTTCTCTGTATATTTTATGCTTGCGATGGTTGTCAGAAATTAGCAGTTAGGATCTAGTTTGTATGCTCTCCGTTAATCATTCATTAGACGCAAACACAAACTAAGGTAGAACAAGATTCCTTTTTAGTGAAATTTTCAGTTTGGTTTTATTTCCAACTATATTTAGTAATTGAAAGCTTTCTGTGGTTAGAATAGCACTTTAGGTTTTGGTAGAATCTACTTATTTTAAACGTTTAAAGCTTTGAAAATGAAATGTGGCGTCATGATACGTTTTTCTGATAATATTCAGCTAGTTAGATCAGTGTTACCCATTTTAGGGGGATTAATTTATAAATTGGAATGTGTATATGCTATGGATGTCATGTCTTTCTCAACTTCTTTAAAAAGCAGTTCATTCAGCTATAAAGAGAAAATAGATAACAATGTAGCAGGTTACATGAGTCTTTCTGTTTGCTAACTGAAATTTACTAAAGACATGGTCTGGGCTCTGCAGGGAAACCATGATGCACAGGCCCAGGGCCTGCTCACTTGGTTGTCCATTGTGCTGCAGGCTGTACCTTTGTGTTGTCTCTGTAACAGGGTGAAGGCCAGTGAATGGAGGGCTTGTGCCCCATTTAATTTGAAAACCAGACCATTAGCGTACAGGAAACACAAAGCACTCGGCAGGAGGTCTCTGTGGCTTGTAGAGGGAGGATGAGGAGGGTGGTAATCTTTTTGCCTTTGCTTTTGTCCCCCACTAATTGTTACCCTCTTCTGGCTGCCAGATTGAAGAGCTACCCCTTTAAGTGTCTTTGGATCTCCTGTGTTTACTCCCACCTTCCCACACTGAGGTTACCAAGGGAAAGCCAGTGTGAAAATACAGTACTCCTGGAAGTTAAATCTTTTAGTTGTTGTTTGTGGTTAATTTCCTCTTTAAAAGGAATAAAGGCTGATAGTGAAAACAGTGCATTGTTGAATGCTTCTTTATTTTTGGAGTCTGTTTAAAAGCAGTTAGCCACCAGCACTGGGCTAGTGTTGACTAGTTAAATCTGGTTGTGCAGCTTGTTGATTTTGTAGTACCAGCCTTTTGCTTTAGAAGACGTGTAATTTTAAGTGTATCTGTAGGAGAAGGCTGCAGAAGCTTTCTATACAGCTTTACTAGTAAATGTTACATTTCGAAGTAGTATTTAGGGGGGATATAGGAGAAGTAGAACTTGGATATGATGTTTCTTTAATGCCAACACCTATTTGAACTGACAGGAAAGAGGAATTTTATTTTAAGGCAGTATTTTCCATTCTTCCTCCCCAACTACAAACTGGTTCTTCAGCTTTCTGTGCCAATTGAGACATGCTATAATAAGTCCTTAACATTCCGGCCTTGGAGTGTAAATGATGGTAGGGTGTTTAGTAGCAGAGCACACACGTTTAAGGAGCTAGTGATAAATATGCTGTGTAGTACCATGTGGTATTTGGATTGTATAATCCTGTTTCAACACAGTGCTGAAACCAGGCATGTTGGGAACTGATGAAAGCCGTGTAAAAGCGTGTTTCCCATTCGCAGCAGGTGGCATGGAGGTGTGCTTTGTTCCCCAACTGTTTTATTCCTCCTTAGGCTTTTCTGAAAACCATGATGCATGGGACGGTGGACTTCTGCACATGAATGTTTATTAGCTTTGTAGAAACCCCAGGATACTGTGAACTTAATAATAATCTACACTGTTTTGGAGGGGCATATTAAGATGTGGCTGACAATAAACTTTTTATTGTTTTTAAAATTGGAGATAATGTTAAAGATAGTTTGCCAAAGCCAGAATTAAATAGTATACTCAAAGCCAGAATTAAAGTAATATAGTGAGCTTTTGGTTTGGTGTACCTTAAAAACTAAAGCTCTCAAATATAATACTTAGTTTGTGTGACACCCTTCTTAGTGCAGCTACTTATATATGTATTTCTGCAATTGATTTGTTGCTTTGTTTTTGTTTTGGCTTTGACAAAGTGTTCAGTAAATAGCAGCTACCATGCACATGTAAGGTAGCTAAAATATGGCATTACTTGATACTTTGTGATGAGCTTTTGTTTCATTTTGATTACTGAAACAGCTTGCAATGCCTGTGAGTATTTATGAGGAATTTCTGTTTGTGTTCCTTTAGGATATGTCTCAGGAAGGTTATGGAACTAGATCTCAACCTCCTCTGGCTCCTGGAAAACCCAACCACGAAGACTTGAATCTCATTCAACAAGAAAGGCCCTCAAGTTTACCAGTAAGACATTAATGTGCTGTTTTGGAAATGTAATGAGTTAAAGATTTTTAGAAGACTTACCTTTTTTCTTTTGGTTTATTCGATTTCATATTACAACAAGGGAGACTTTACATTTATTATCTATGTTTTTAGAGTTTAATTTGGACAAGTGCTGTTATTCTGGATAAGTAATGTGCAGTCATCTCTTGTGGAGCAGACAGTAGTGGAAAGTTTTATTTGGCTGGCTGGCTTTGTGTGCAGGGAGATACTGCTGTTGTGTAACTTAGCTTTCTTTAGCTTGTTGCCTTTCGTACAGTTACAAAACAAAGTTGTCAGTGCAAGGACTGAAGACAAGAATTCTTTTGCAAAGAATATAAATGAAATTACACATCTGATATAGTAATTTGTATTACTCCTAGGAATTTATAATTTGTATAAGGAAACAATGAGGCCGGGCACTGGTAGCTCACACCTGTAATCCTACTCAGGATTAGAGCTACTCAGGAGGCTGAGATCTGAGGATCGTGGTTCAAAGCCAGCCTGGGCAGAAAAGTCCCCTTAAGACTCTTACTTGCAATTAACCTCTTAAAAATCAGAAGTAGTGCTGTAGCTCAAGTGGTAGAGCGCTAGCCATGAGTACAAAGAAACTCAGGGATAGCACCCAGGCCCTAAGTTCAAGCCCCAGGACTGGCAAAAAAGAAAAAAAAAAAAGAAAGTAGTTTAAAATATGACAGAGCAGCGTGTGAGGTATTTCTGTCAGCACCTGCTCTTTGGTGCTTGGGCATGTGTTGTTCAGAATAGTGGTGGCTATGGAGCACGGTGCCAGAGGTCGCACCAAAATGAAATTTTCTGCAATGAACTCAAAGAATAAATCTGTACAAGTAAATAGTTTACATTAATTTTGACTTGAATCTGTACAAGTAAATGATTTACATTAATTTTGACTTGAAGGATTAGTTATTACTTAATTTTTATTAAGATTTGCTTGATTGCAGTTCAGAATGTCCATTTTAATTTTAATTTCAGCTATGTTTGCACCTAGTAAAATTTATTACCCCTTCTAAATCTTTGAGACCAAGGGCTTACCATGAATATGGTGGGTGGTGTGTGCCATGCGTACACACCACACACGTTTAAAATGACACGTGCAGCCGTGGAGAAGGCAGGTGCTGGCTGTAGGGTGCACCATTTCTGCATGGACTGCACGTGGTTTTGAAACCCTTCATTTTAAAGGTTGTATAATTTTTATAATGGGAAAGGGTGAAGCCTTCTCCTGGTTCTATTTATTTAAGTTGTATTGAGTCATTTATTGTCTTGTTGTTTGGATTTTGAAAGAATGGAAAAGGTGATAGAGTATGGATTTCATGCTTGGAGCTCTTGTAAAGCTGGAGGGGCATAGAGTGTGTGTGGCACACATGCTCTCTGTTAACAAATGGAATAGTTGCTGAATATTTGAAACTGGTTTATGGTCCTAGGGAATTTAAATTGACTTATGGAAAGCAGGTGAGTAGTGAACCCCCTCCCCCCCCCATGTGTGTGTGTGTGTATGTGTCTGTGTGTGTGTGTGTGTGTATGTGTGTCTGTGTGTCCCAACTTTGTAGGCCTATTCTTGGGGGCTGGTTTGTACTGTGACACGGGTTGGAAAGGTTGTCTTATACTAATAACCATTTTCTGAGTGGTCTTAAGAATAATGCTCATTCTGTACCGCCTCCTTTGTGTCCTTTTTGAGAACTTGAGCATCCCTCCCTAGTCTTTTATTGTCATGGTTGCATTTTGAGGGACTGCTTGTCATTCAGCAAAGTCTTAAGTCTGAGTATAATTAGGGATAGTTAAACTTCTTGCTGAATAATTCTATTTTTATCTCTTTGTATATTGAAGTAAGTTACAGTCTTGTTCATGATTTCCTTGCCTATTTCCAAAGTATTTGAGGTTATTCATGATACAATTATTTTTATCCTATACTGAATTTTTAAAAATTTGTTATTGTAAAGGAAATGTGCAAAGGGGTTACAGTTTCATCAGTCAGGTAAAGAGTCTATTTCTTTCTGGACAGTGTCACTTCTTCCCTCTCTTTCACCCAGTTTTACCTTCTTGTCCCTGTCTACAAGTTGTCCAGTTCATTTCAACATAGTGTCTAGTGAGTACCACTGCTGCATTTCTTCACCCTCTACCTCTCCATTTCTGTGCCTCCCCTTACCCTCCCAAAGAGAGGTAAACAAGACAAAAAGAAAAGAAAAATAGCAACAAAGAAAAATACCTCTTGTTTCCTTTACTAAAGAGTTGATTTAGGTAAATATTATTTTATATGATCAGCGGCATATAGGCATTGCGCCTTTGTGTTCCTTCCTAAACAGAAATATATTTGTAAACTCTTTGTTTTTTAACTCACAGGTGAATAGGCCAGTAGGTTCAGGACTACGCTAATCACGTTTCCCTATCTTTTTTAGAGAGCAAAATTTCCAGAGTTTATGACAAGTGTATATAAGGGTCAATTACTAAATAAATCTGGTGTAACTAAAGCCTCTGATCTGTTAGGATGGAAATTGGCTTTATGTAAATGAGGTTTAGTGTACCATATTTTCCTCATTGAGTCCTGTGTGTATAAGCAATTTCTATATGAGATTTACAATTATATTTTTGTTTATGTGGATGTTTCTTTTATAATTTGTGCATAATTAAGGTAATTATGGCTTCAGGGAACAACCTGTTAGTGTTCTTGTATGGTTCTAATATTGAGGATTTTCCTTCTTTTTTCTTCTTGTGTCTCTTTTTCTCCTACCCTCCCCTTTCCCTCTTCTCTTCCCCTCCTATCTGGGGTTTGAACTCAGTGCCTGGGTGCTGTCCCTGAGCTTTATTGCTCGAGGCTAGTGCTCTACCATTTGAGTCACAACTCTACTTTCAGCTTTTTTTTTTTTTTTTTTTTTGTGGTGGGTCTTGAATTCTGGGCCTGGGCGCTGTCCGTGTATTCTTCAGCTCAAGGCAAACACTCTACCACTTGAGCTACAGCACCACTTCCGGTTTTCTGGTGGTTCATTGGAGATAAGAGCCCAGGCTGGCTTTGAACTGTGATCCTCAAATCTCAGCCTCCTGAGTAGCTAGGATTACAGGCGTGACCCATCGGCACCCAGCTTACTTCCAGCTTACTTCCAGCTTACTTGAGTGGTTTGTTGGGAGATAAGAGTCTCATAGACTTTCCTACTTGAGCTGGTTTTCAGATGTGATCCTCAGATCTTAGCCTCCCAAGTAGCTAGGATTACAGGTGTGAGCCACCCGTGCCCAGCTAGTATCAAATATTTTTCCAGAGTTAGTTATTTTAGTAACTACTTTAGTCCTCTAACTTGGATAAACTAATACCTTAGGTACCTTGAATCTGTTGTCTAATGCCCAAATCTGATACTGGATCTTCTGTACTCTTTTTTCTCTTACATTATACTTTTCCCTTTGAAATATCAGTGGCATAAATTTTGTGTTTCTACTTTAGGTTACCACAAGTTTTAAGTCTTAACTGGACCATCGTAAATGTAATATAGTGATTTTATGTATATATTGTAAGTTTGTCCATTATAGATTACTGTAATTCCTTAACATTCTTTTCTCTTTTGGTTGCCTTGAGGTTTTATAGTATTTTCTGCATGACTTGTTTTCTCAAGTTCGGTACACAGTTATCAACTTTCTATACAAAGTCAGGATACTCCCCAAATTCCGAAGCCAGTGCTCTAGTTTGATCTCTCAGTAAGCTGGCTTCTTCTTCCCCTTGAACAGGTTTGTATTTGTTGGGGTCATTATGCTCTTTAGTTATGTTTTCAGTAGACTTAGGGGGAGTCTTACATCATCTGCAGAAAGCAAAGGAAAGGGCTGGTAAATTAATGCTTCTTCTTTGTTCTTGTCTTGGACCATGACCAGTGATATTTACTTTTTACTTAAGGGACTCAGCTTAAGCTTAGCACAAGAGTCCCTTAATATTGCCCGCTTAATTCTGTACTTCCTAATCATACAGATTTCCCCCATTGAGATCCGTTCATTTATATATCCTTGTGTTTTAATTGTAATATATTTTCGCATATTGTATGCATGCAATGTAACAAAGTTTGAAGGGCTTTTCCCATTAGAATATTATCACTTAATATTTTTCCTTACTCTGCCTTTAGCATTGGTAGAGAATGAAGCAAACATTTTAGCAAAATACAGTGGAAGATCCAACAGACAGTGCTGCTTGTCTTCTGCTTGATTTTACAAACATTGAATGTATCTCACTTTGACATCCATAAAACCTCAAGTATGATTGCTAAATGTTTGTTAAACCTTTATCACTGTGACATTAACAATTCATTCTTCTTTTTAGTTATTTTATAGCAATCTTTGCTCTTTTGTTTAGACTAAGAACCTTTCATGGTATTTACTACATTTTATTTAGTATTTTCTGAAAATCACTTATATAAAAACTTATTTGAAATCCTTCCCCCACCCCCGCCTAGTTTCACATCTTAATTTTAGTTGCTTTTAGTCTTTTCATAGTACTGAATTGTGTTCAGAAAGCCTTGTCCTCATATAGTAATGATATGATTTTGTGAGTATATTAACTGTACTGGCAAGTTGGTCATTCTCCAGACCATTCTGTTTTTATCCAATGACATTTAACTTTTACCTTGGTCTTTGTCTTCAAGAAAAGAAGTAGGCATTTTGGATAATTGAACTCAGAAGCACCGAAACTTCCTTTTTCCTGAGGTTCTGGGGCCATAAGCTTTCCAGGCAGATACTCTACTACTTGAGCAATGCTCCCAACCTGAAAACACCCCTCTCCCTCTCCCTTTCCCTCTCCCTCCCCCTCCTTCTCTCTTGATTTTTCTTTTTTTTTTTTTTTTCTTTTTGTCAGTTATGGGGCTTGAACTCAGGGCCTGGGCACTGTCCCTGGGCTCTTTTGCTCAAAGCTAGACCTTTGTCACTTTACTTACAGTTTTCTGGTGGTTAATTGGAGATAAGAATCTCTTGTCTTTCCTGTCTTGGCTGGCTTTGAGTAAGTA